ATCTATTAGATACGTACTCGTAGAAAGTTACTGTAGCATTATGCATTCCTACAGCAGCAATACGGTATGGCTACTGAAGCGATCTGTTAGATAGCTAGAATCGCCAACTACATTTCTCTTACAACGCCCTCTTACCGGACAAAACATATTTATCCGGACCACATAAAAGTAACACACGTGTTTTTTTGTGCCAATGATCAATTAAAAAAAAATGACTTAAATATTTGTTTTAATTAAATATGGATTCGTGGGTAGGAAAAATTTTACAAGAATGGAATTTTACTGATTACAAAAATCAATTTATTGATAAGTAAATACTTATTTATTTGTCATAAAATATGAACAACCAACCTCAAACCTCATGATTATAAAATCAAAACATTTCATTCTTCTGATCTTTTGTTAATTTTTATTTAAAAATTGTATGGATAAATAAAAAAAAAAACAAGTAATTAAAAATTAAAAAATAGATTACATATTAAATTATCAAGTTTTTGAATGACACAAGTTGAAAGACATTAGAAATTTTTTTAGAATTTTTTAGCAATAAAATTATTACGTAAAAAATTTAATAAAAAAATTCCACATGTGAGAATTAAAAAAAATTCTTAGTGAAAATTTTTAGAAGCATTTTTTACTGTCATTGATTTGTTATAAAATTTAAAAAAAAATTGACAGTTGTCAACTAACTTTAGTACCACATTTTTGATAATATTTATTTATTTTTCATGTACCATTTTAAAAAAAAATTATACAAATTAAATGTTTCTACACACATTCAGTGCGGAAGGCACTGGCAACTCTCAGAGCACTCTGTCTCTAAATTGGACCCGCTTTTCTCCAAGATTCTTGCGTTTCTAATGCGTCAGCCCAAATGGATATACCATATGTGAGCACAGGCCTTCCGCACAATATCAGAAGAAGCAGTGTGCGTCATTGCTGAAACCCTGCCGCTTAGAGTACTAGCAGAGGAAAGACGGGCCCTTTACCAACGAAAAAGGTCAACTACACTGAGCCCTGAAGAACTTAGAACAGAAGAACGGCAGCACAGCATTTCGCGATGGCAACTTGAGTGGGACGCCGCAGCAAAAGGAAGATGGACATACCGCCTCATACCAAAGATCGATGTTTGGCTGAACTGAAATCATGGCGAAGTCAACTATTATCTAACGCAGATGTCTGGACATGGGTGCTTTCGAGAATACCTGCACCGCTTTGAGCATGACGATTCTCCGGAGTGCCCGTCTTGTCCAGGAGTTATTGAGGACGCAGAGCACGTTTTCTTTGCGTGTCCACGTTTTGATCCTCAGCGAAATGAGTTAGAAAGGATCCTGAACCGGAGAATCCAACCAGAGACAATAGTAGAAGCAATGCTGTCATCAGAGGCTGCCTGGAACGCCGCAAACACGTTTGCAACAGAAGTCCTTAAAGGCTTGCGTTCCACCGAAAGAAGAAGAGCAAATAGCAGAAGATAGAAGGAAGGTAGTTAACACCTTAGCCATCAGAAGGAAGAGCAGTAGCTAGATCCTCCCCTCACGAAGTAATGCCTGACGGCGGTTTCCATGAGGGATTAGAGGAAAGAGGAAAGGGGTTTAGGGTTTAGTGGGTAGGGGCGTCAGCGTCGAGTTTTAGTGTGACGCTGCGTCGAGTCGCCACATATCCAGGCCAACAACTATGCCTAGAATCCGTAAAAAGGATTCCCCCCCCCCAAAAAAAAAAAAAAACACACACACACACACACACCTTTGAAAAATTTTTCACAAAGAATTGTGGTGTGAGGTTGTAGCTTTTACATCACAATTAAAAAATGGTTAAATTCTAAAATTGAGAGACATATCAGTTGAAACTTTCTCTACTTTTAAATACTTAGTAGAAGGTTACTCGTATTATTCGTTGATTATTATTTCTTTTCTAAATATTTTTAGGGCGTATATGGAAATCAAGCTTTCGTCTTTGCAGGAAACGAATTCTCAGATAATTTTCCCCCAAACCAATATAAATCAGTTCTTGAAATTACATACAAGGGTGAAAAAATTATGGTGTTCAATTTGTACTTTGACATTCAATAAAACTTGGCAAAATTTCAATATAAAATGTCTAAATTTTTCGCATCAACAATGATGTAAAGTAAACGTAAATAAAGAATCAATCTGTCATTAACTTCCATGAAAAAGTTTACAATCTCTGTGATCCTATGCAATCCTAAAACAGTTTGAAAAATCCTAAAATTCAGAATTTTTCTCTTAAATCAATTTGATTTTTTGTCAGTGAAAAAAAAAATTCGTATTACTGACATATTTGTATTATATGTAACTAGAATTTTCAGAGTAATTAAAAATTTCCGCGGTCTCTTGACCCGCCCTCCATCGATAAATCTTTATATAGTTTAAAGCGAAAAATTTTAAATAAACAAAAACTTACGGTGAAATAAAGTTTAAAATAATGTAACATTTGTATTTTTTTTCTTTAATGGTTACAAAGAGCTAATCAATTATTTTTACTTACGATAATATATGTCATCATCATCATTTTCCGTTCGGGATTCCATTAATAGTTCATTTCCGATTTCCGCGGGTTTATCTTCGAGTTCCACTTCCATGGGTTCAGCTTTAAGTTCCACTGGTTTTACTGCTACGGGTCTACTTCCAGTTCAGATTCTGGCTCTGGATAAAAAGGTACTCTTCCGACAGTTGGCTGGGATGATTGAATTTCTGCCATCCAAAAGGTCTAAATGACTTTCATATTGAGCCAAATTATGATAGAGATCTCACAAAGTCAATGTATAATAAAGTAATATAATAATTATTATGATCTATCTTACATCCTTGCCTATCTACAGCGACGTCTGAAGTCGAGCGAACCTCTCTTCGGGTAAAACCGACAATCTTTATAAAATCTTAAAGCAAGCATCTGTGAAAAATACAAACAAAAGTTGAAAATTGTATAAATAATGAACAAATTATTATTAAACTACATAGTTAAGAAAATATTGCAACGGGTATATTGTTATTTTAAATATTTAATTTAACTTACTGTCCACCAAGCAGCCTATTAGACGGAATTGTCGCAGTGGTACTCCGGGAAAAAGTTTAGATCTGCTCTGATCAAATTCATCAGATCTGAGCAGATCTGCATTTTGGCCAGATCTGTTCAGATCTGGTTCGATTGAAACAGAATCAATTTATAAAAAAGTTTATAAAATAAAAATAATATTAATAAATTAATTTTATTTCTACTTGCAAATTAAAAATTATGTATTTTATATCAATTTTCCGTGATTTAAAATCGAATTATCGTTGAAAAACAATTTGCGATGATGAGGATTCGAATCTGGGTCCTCCTGCATGTCAGTCCCAGAGCGTACCATTCAGCTACTAGAAGTACCTGACTGAGTTACTCTTCAGATAATAGTGTAGGCGCTGTATTATCTTTTCGTAAAATTTTGAGGTCGGTGTAGAAAATATGATTACTTAATGTACTTGGACCTGATGAAAATAAAAATTAGATCCGATTTTGAACCCCCGAGTCCCTTGGTAACCACGACTAGCCCATGCTTGGTTACCAGGACTGTGCCCTAATCAATTTTCAAGTCTGCCTCATGCTATTTGATGAGAAATAATAAAAATAGTATATTACGACCCAAGGCCAGAAAGTTGGATTTCCTGGCGTATGTGATATGATGGCCCGGCCGCCCGACTTTTGCAAAGCTGAGGCGAAGCCGAGGTTTTACTGGTCGGGGCGGGGATAATAAAAAAGTAAAAATTAATAAATAAAAAAAAATGTTATTTTAAAGTTTACTAACAAATGCTCTGATTAAGAGAGATAACATGCACAGAACTTTTCACAAATATTTAAACTCGATTTAATAACAGAATTAATTTTTTTAAGTTGATTAAAAATTAGTTTTTAATTAGACGGCTAAGAAAGATTGAAATTTAATTATTAGAAGTTTGTAGAGTACATGGATTGTTTTATAAACATCGATTTACTAGTTGTCAAAATATAAAAGAAAGCAAATAAAATCTACAAAACTTTTATATTTTATTTTCTAAAACTTTTTTATAAATTATTTGTGCAGTATTATATTATTAAATAATAGTTCATTAACAATAATCTAGTAAGAAATTATTTTTATTTATTTGACACTTTTTGGTTAGTTTATGTGTTGACATGTTACATACAGACAATGTTGTGACTGTTATATACAGTCGAAACTCGCTGTATAGGCCGGTCGCACCACGAAAGTACGAAAGAAAGCGAGGTTCTGTGCTGCCGGCCAGAAAATATGCGTAGCGCGCATGCGTAGAGAACCGGCTGAGCCGGCCATAAATGTTGCTCTTCCTGGAGTAAAGTGCGTCCAGGATGAGCGTACTTTCGGCTAGGAGAGCAAGAAAAATTAATTTTTAAGCGTCATTTTTTCTATGTAGACGATGAAATGATGTGCTTTTCTAGATATCTAGGATTGATGATTGGTGACCTAATTTTCAGTATCAATAAGGCGTGGAAACTATATTCAAAATTACGTCAAATAATTGCTATAATTACATCAATTGGATTACTACGAAATTATTCAAAAATTTTAGAGAATTTCATTGCTGAACACAACTCATTGTACATTGAACTTTCTGGTGATTTGAAACCAAAATTTTACCTTTTAGTACATTATGCTAGATTACTATTAAAAAATGGACCGTTCATTTACTACTGGTCAATGAAATACGAATCGAATAATCGAGAACTAAGAATCTGCGTAAGAACTACGACTAGTAAAAAAAAATTCATTAAAGACGATAGCGATTCGAAATCAATACAATTATGTTATTCAGCCTACTGTAGTGATGAAATAGTTAATAAAATTATTTATGAGAATTATAGATTCATGGTATAAATAATTTCATATTTCTATTAAAAATAAAAATAATTTACTACGAAACACATTTTCTGATATTAATTACAGTTAATTACAATATTATATACGTGGATGACATTAAATTATACAGTTAAAGTTTTGTGCAGTAAAGAAAAGAGTCATAAGGAAAAGTTTTCTGAGATTCGTCGATGATGAGTTGACATTGCGGATATTCCGTCACTTGTTGCATAATTTCAGAAGCTGTGGATGATCCGGTTTGTTCAACCATTTTTGCGAAAATGCTGCCCGGTTTCTCTATTAATAATCCGTAAGGTGTATCAAATTCCTGTTGAATAAAAAAGATTAGTAATCGATAAATAGAAAAAATAAATAGAGAAAATTTGATTGATCACTCACCGCTGCACATCCATTGTCCATTACTAAAATCCTGTTGCTATTGATGATTGTATTCAATCGGTGAGCTATTGTTATAACTGTGCAATCTGCGAATTTAGACCGAATAGCTCGCTGGATCAACGCATCAGTCCTATCATCAAAACAACCGTTAAAAAGTTACACATTTTTGGGGGATCTGAGTCTATAAGAGCAGGGATAGTACATACCGAGAGTCGACATTAGCGGTGGCTTCGTCGAGAACTAGGATCCGATTGTTTCTCAGCAGAGCACGAGCGAGGCAAATCAGCTGACGCTGACCAACACTGAAGTTTGTTCCGCCTTCGGTGACCCATTGGTCGAGGACAAAGTCACTCAATTCTAATTCCCTCAACGCATCCCAGATTTCTTTATCGGTGAATTTCCCGAATGGGTCGAGATTGTATCGTAGTGTCTCAGAGAATAAAACAGGCTCCTGTGGAATGATTGATATGCTTGATCGTAAATCTTGAAGCCCGATTGTTTTAGTGTCTACACCGTCAATAATTATTTGCCCCTGGAGACCATCGTCGACCAGTCGGAAGAGTGCAGATATCAATGAGGATTTTCCGGCACCAGTTCTTCCGACAACGCCAACTTTCCACCCCGGTTCGATCATCAAGTCAATGTTCTAATCAGCAGAAGAAATATCTAATTGAATTAATCTGAAATTTACTGATAAGCTTAATTATAACTCAAGACTTGTATACCTTTAAAACAGCAGGGTCGTCTTTTTTATAGCTAAGAGAAACGTTTTTCCACTGAATACGTCCTTTGGATGGCCAATTTTTAGGCAATGGCTTCGATGATTCTATAGGACCTTCTTTCGGCAAGTCAGTGTACTGAATTATCCTCTCTACAGCCGTCATCTGTGATTGCACTTTAGTAGCTTGTTTAAGACCGTATTTTAACATACTAGTTAAGATCAAGGATTGGGAAATCGCCAGTCCTGCAGTCGCCCCAAAGTTATATTCTACAAAAATTATTTCCAAGCTCATTAGATCAATACTCTTCTTTATCTTTCTTTAATAACTCCTTACCTGCATTAAGAACAATAAGAAAGAAAGTCAAAATCGTGGTAAAAAGACATGCCATTAAGTCAACTCCAAGTCCAAAAGCTGTTTCACTTGCTATCACTAAATACCAAACTTCTGTGTGGTTATTCTGATGCAGATCAAACTCACTGCGTAACATTTGTTTTTCGTGGTTGTCCCTACTTCTGATAGTTGTTAGGCCGTTAAAAGTTGAGTCGACATGCGTAAAAACGGAACTTTTTACTGTAAAAATATCATCCTTATTAGAAATGGTTATGATTGCTAATGTGCAGAAGCACATTAATGGTTACTAATTAGAGTAGTGACTAATGAGTAATGACAATGATATCTTGTCTTTTCTAATACCTATACTTTCCAGCCGTTTAACATCTTGAGCCGTCCTTAAGTAGTATTTTATCAAGAAACTAAATAAAACTCCTAAAATCAGAGCAAGAATGATCATCCAAGGGTTGATTATTGCAATATTGATAAACGTTCCCGCAACTAAGGAGATGATGATAGCAGCTTGCATCAAATCTGGTAGAAGTATATCATCGACAGTTCCAACATCTTTCGAAAATCGGTTCAACAAGCGACCTGCAATAGCGTCATTTCATTAAAAATCAACTCAATTATGTAGATAGTGAAACCATTACCTGCCGGATTCGTATGAAAGAAGTGCATTGTTGTTCCAAGGATACTGTTGAGCATGATATCATGAAGGTTTTGAGCAGCTCTCACCCCTATTAGTATGAGGTAATAACACCGTAACATTGAAAGTATGATGAAAGTAACTAAAAGCCCTAAGTAGACGTAGACTGCTGTATAAGTGGATATCAAGTCATTATCAAGATTTAGATCAGTCTGACTTGAATTACTTGCAGAACGGATAGTTTCTAGTCGCGTCCAATAAGTCATCCACTGATCGATACCAACAGCTACCAATTGCGTCACAATGAACAGTATAACAAGCAAAATGATGCCAATCATTCCACCACCTTCATGGAGGTAGCGTTTATAAACTTTTTTTGAAATAATTCCTGTGCCCATTGTTTCATCGGCAAAACTTCTTTTGACAGCATCATCGAACTCATTAGTCTGAAAAAGATTGAAGACGCATTCGCATTATTAATGGTACAGAAAAGTAAAAATTATAAGCCTTGTACAGTGAAATACTGACCAACCCGAAGCTTTCATGAGACCTGATAGAAACTTGGGAAATGTTTCTCTTTAATCGACGGAAAAAAGTTTCCTGTTTAATGTTTTCTGGAGGGGAAGCTTGATGATTGGTTTTAGGAATAGTATTTGGTTCGTTTCTACTCTCTTGCAAATCATTGACCATGTTGTTGAATGCGAAGCTCGTAGAAGTTAAGGAATCGAAGGTACATTGATGTTTGATCAACCCCTTGAATTATAATATTAAAATTGATAAAATTTTCAATAAAACAATAAGGAATAAGATTTTTACCTGTTCGATGACTGCAATGGTGTCAGCTTGCGTAATATAACTGAGCTGATGAGTGACGAGGATTCGTGTCTTGCCTTTGAGGTATCCAAGGATGCAGTCTTGGAAGAGTTGTCGAGATACGTGTGCATCAACAGCACTCAGCGGATCATCCAGAAGATACAAATCAGCAGGTCTGTAAATAGCTCTGGCCAGATTGATTCTCGCTCTCTGACCGCCAGAAAGGGAAGCTCCTCGTTCTCCGACAATCGTCAGATCACCTTCTGGCAGTTGCTTGAAGTCTTGTAGTAGAGAACAAACTTTCGCTACCTGATGACATCATCATTGACAATAAAAATTAGTGACCTGCATTAGGAAAATTAATAAAAATTTAAGCTTACCTCTTGATAACGCGCTTTATCGTATTCTTGCCCAAAGAGAATGTTTTCTCTGACACTTCCCGTGAAAAGCCAGGGGTCCTGACTAGCGTACGATATTCTCATCGCTGGATTGTCCTGTGAAAATACTGACTTAGATTTAGCTCCAGCAGACTCTTCATCAGAAAACTGGAAGAGTTCAACCGTGCCTGCACCGACTGGCAGCTCTTGCAGGAGCACATTCAGCAAAGAACTTTTTCCCGAACCGACTGGACCTACAAGAATACAAAGTTCTCCTCCGTTGATCTTCAGTGAGACGTCACTCAGTGTTGGAGGCAATTGTCCGAATTTCCAATTTGCTGAAACTTTATTCAACTTGACAACTACAGCTCCTGGATTGGATTTCTTTTTCAGGCTATCCTCAACAACTTCAGGCATCTGTGCTCTGATGTCCAAGGCATTCGTGTTTTTTTTGACCTCCTCCAGCAGAAGAAACTCCTGTAATATTTCCAGTTTATTCATTGTCGGAATTATTGAATCAGTGAATAATAATTTTCCATACCTCGATTCTTTTGATAGCGATGAGAGATTGCATTAATAGAACAATCGACATAGGAAAAATCAACGTCATAAGAAGTTCCAAGGTATTGTAATAAATTACAATCCCGAAAATTTCTCTAGTCGGGAGTGAATTTCCGTTCAAAATAAAGACAACAATAGTCGTGAAGGTCATGATTTTTTGAGTGAACTCCGATAAGTTTGTATACAACCCCTTGATCTTATTTGAATAGTGCACCTTTTTGATTTCCTCCAATCTGGCTTTGGTCACTATCATCTCAAAGGGTTTTTCCCATGCGTACATTTTTATTACCTGTACAAAACGCATATTTAATAAATATGAAAGTCGTGGACATTAACAACTCACATCTCAAGGATGATTCTTACCTGAATCCCAGAAATCAGTTCACCTACGAAATGGACTCGTCTGTCAGTCAACATAGCAGTAACTTTTCTGAGTTTTCCAGTTACAATTCCTACGTAGCTCTGCATTGGTATGGTTATCAAGAATAAAATTCCGTAGCCTACCAAAGTGTAAACCCCGATACTACGCCAGATTACGTACCCGATTACGATGATCTAGTTATTAAAAAAACGACAATTAAGAATTTATTATGAGGGCCCATCAGCTGATCTATAGTAACATTGATCTTAAACAAAAATTTGAGCAAGATTTTAAAAGCAGAGCGCTTAGCAATATTTCGTCAAACTATTCGTTAAGGTTTTAGTAAGATCTTTATGAGATTCTTCGTTAAGAATGTTGACCTTTTTTGTGTGAAAAAAGTAAGATTTTATGAGCCGGCGTCCCTTTCGTCTTTCTCACTAAGACATGGGAAATATAGAATTTCTGTGATTTTCATTTGAAATCTCATTTATAAAGTGATCATCAAGTACGATTCATACGTAAGTATAGAATGAGAATTTTTCTTTCCTCAAGACTCACTCAAGAATCTTGACCAAGTATCGGTAGCAATTCTTGGACAAAAATATATTATCAGTATGTTACGCTAGAATTGTCGAAGTTTGATTAAGAATCTTATTTACTTATTTATTTCTCTGGAAAACGACCCAACGGCAGTATGATTATTTTGTTCAGGATTACAGGGAGCAAATTTAGTAATACGAGCTGTTCTATTACTTGAAATACGCCTATGATCAAAAATTTAGTTGAGAATGTTCGCATGAGTGCTTTCAGTAACCTCGGCTTAGTTTTTGCAGATTTATTGTTGTTGTTGTTGTTTGGGTTTTCGATCAATTTTAACTTTTGTAGCTCTATATTCCATGACCTAAGGTAATAAATAAATAATGATTACTCATATTACGCGGTTTTCATCTAAAAGTTGATTGATCGCTACTTGAATCATAAAAAATTCACACGTACTTTTCCAAATTATCGGTAAGAGTTTTTGATTGATTAGAAGCTAACGGCATGTAAAGATCTTCCAATTTGACACCATGTTTGGATCCTTTTTTGAATAAATCTAGTGTCCACCTATCAAAAAAATAAATGACAAAAAAGTTATGACACTGAAATTAATAATAAACATCTGAAAATTTTTTGAATTTTATTAAATAACAATAATAATGAATATTCTACATACAGAAATTTCATAAAACTATAAACACAATTTGTATGAAATAATTTTTCAATAACAAATTGCTTTTTAAATAATACAAAAAATTTTCAGATATCCACTAATTTTGGTATTATCAAAAAATATTCTCAAATTATTCAATCTTTTTGAATATCTCAGCTGTCAATTGATTTCGAATTGATTAAATTTTGTATGAGTTCAAAATTTTAGCGCGTATTCGTTCAAGCGCTAGGAGTCCGTTCGGCGAAGTTCGGATCTTTTCGCTAGCCGTTGAGACGCCATACTTGTTTATGTCAAAGTCGGTGTTTTGGTCAATGCCATAGTAAACAAAGTTATTGGACAGATTAATGGCGAATTTGAGACTTTAATAAGCATCACAAAGGGCAGAGTAACTAAGAAGCACTCAAGAAATGTGAAAAATAGTAAAAGGTATTTACGTGAATGCATATATATTAGTTGAACAAAAATGTTCATGATATTAAGAATCAGCAGATAGTTTACTACTTCTGGATTTTTAGCAAATAAATTAGTTCTAGAAAATGAATTTTTAAAAATTGATTTGAGTGATACACAGTAAAAAATTTTGCGTCATTGCGTCAAAAAATTTTGAGTTAAAAATTTTTATGTTAAATATTTAACACTTTTTTGTGTTGATTTAACAGAACAAGTGTTAAATTTACATATAAAAGTGTTAAATATTTAACACAAAAATTTTTAACACTAAGATTTTTGACGCAATGACGCAAAATTTTTTACTGTGCAGCAGAACACGCATATTCAATGTTTCAGCAGTCAAAAAATTTATCATTACCCTTAAGTTAGTTATTTCAAATAACCTCTGGAAATTGAAATATCTACTTGGAATCCGAAAAATTTGTTATTATTTTTAGCGTAGAAATTGTCTTGTATAAATAGAAGAGTAGCCTGAAAACAAAAAAAAA